GAAAACTGCAAACAATCTCCGCAATGTTTGCCTAGAAACAAACAAACAAAAAACTTGACAAACAAACTTAGAGGTTAGATTACCTATTTTGTTATACCTAGAATTATATTAACTTTAAATGTTAAAATGTATGTATGCATGCATGCATAACGAAGAAGACAATTATAAATAACTATCATTGGTTCTTAATAATACTCTAAAAATAGCATCGTCATACTGATTCGTTCCCGAAATGATCGATTCTCCATTTTACATCATAGCAAATAAATATTTTGATCAGATAATAAAAATCCATAATAAAGCCCATTGACGTTTATATGCATTTTTTTGTCTATGCGGCACCAATAATTTCAAATAATAAGGTTGTTTTGTTCATTCTTATATATAAGGCTATTTATATTCAAAAAAAAATACATGTACATTCCAACAATCGCAATTTCGCCATGCTATTGTGACTCTGACTCAAGAACTACTAAAATCAATTTCTTGATTCAATTCCAAGCATTATAATAGATTTGCTGTAAATGCGGTACATGATCACGTCATTAGCTACGGCTACATGTCAAAATGAGATCCCACGTCTGCGATGAACACATATATTTTGTGGAAGAACCTATTAGGTGCTGAGAGATTAGTTGAAAAAATTAGGTAGTTTTCTATGGACTATTTTTATCTAAGTAGAACAAATGTCTACTGTTTCTCTTCCTATAATCGCTCCAATAAGCGGATGGGATATGGGTGTTTTATCACTTATAGGAAAACTTAAACTTGATACGGGACATTCAAAATTCTATGTGACTAAAAAGTTGTAATTCATATTTTAATCTGAATCCATTAATATTTAGTTTAAAAATTATATTAAAAATAATATAAAATCGCAAAAAGCAGATTGAATAATCCGACTTCCGTGCACTTTTTAATCTAAAAAATTTTGTATATATAATATTTGCTAAAAATTTTAATAACAAATAATATATTTAATTATATAATAAAAAAATTAAATTATAAAAATAAATATATAATAAAAAGATAAAATCTTAAAAAATATTTTATAAATATAAATAATTTATTTAAATATAAGTTAAATTTTTAAATATATTAAAAATTTAAATTTTATAAGTATTAATTTATATATTTTAAATAATTTAAAAAAAATTTATATATAGTAATTCTTATAATTATAAAATTTAAAAATCAATTTTATTAATAAAATATAATAAAAATTAAATTATTTCTCTATATTAAAGTTTATAATTTTATTCTAACTATAAAGTTATCATTAATTTTACATCAAAAAATTTTATAA